TCTGACTATGTCTCACTTACCTGATCTGTAGGCTGCTGCACTTACCAGATCTGTAGGCTGCCCCCCTGTCTCCACTTACACACAGTCTGTGCCCCCCCGTCTCTTATCTGATCTGTTGCCCCGCATGCCTTACTTACCTGATTTGTAGGCTGCCCCCCCATGTCTCACTTATCTGATTTGTAGTCTGCCCCCCAATGTCTCACTTACCTGATCTGTAGTCTGCAACCCCCCCATGCCACACTTACCTGATCTGTAGGCTCTCTCTGCAGTTGCTGGCTGCTGCTCCCCTGCGGATGTAGTCAGGAGAAAGAAGCAGAGATAAGCTGTAGCTTCCTTTCCTTGCCTTTCTCCATTCACAGCGCCACCTACTGGCCAGCGCCGGTATTGCAGTGTATTCTCACACTGAAATGAAAAATAGCCTCACAAGCTGGAAAATCCAGGGGGGTGGGGGGTGGCATGTGCCCCCCCTGTGGACGCCCATGCTGGTTATGTAATGTCAACACGTACTAGCAAAGGATTAAGCTGTTAACTTTACAGGCCTACCCAAACGTCAGTTTTGATGCATCATAACCAACTTATACCACCACTACTATAACTCTGCTTATTGTCCCCGACTAAAAATGGAAAGGCGGAGCCTGTAGTTGTGGGAAAGGTTTACCCGGCCTATAAATTTACAGGCCTCCCCTTCCTCTGGGCTGAGACATCCTGAGCCCACCCCCCTCACAGTTTATTAAGCATTCACTTAGTGGACCCTCTTTTACAGGCTAACCCGAATGTTATTTTCAGCACACCACAACCGACTTATACCACCACTACTATAACTCGGCTTATTGTCCCTGACTACAAATATATATATATATACACATTATAGATGAAGAGTGGCCATTTCCTAGGTGATAATGTGTAGTTTGGGAAAAGATCAGTCCCCATAGATTTGCTGCAAAAAGGAACTTTAAGATATCTCTTGTAATTGTTGCTATTCTTCTTATTATTATTATTACTAATTATATTGTGTATTGTTTAAATGAGTATAATATACATCCTGGATTGACGCTTTAACCCCTGATATCTGATGCTTTTTCCATTAAGGGATTAAAAAGAAGCATGTCGGCTGTAACCCAGAATATTTTCTCATTCACAGATGTTATCTAGAGGTGTTTATAGAAAACCCATTCTTCAAACTGAGATCTGCAATGATGGTTAATAAAAATAATGTAACATTGTGCCAGTCTTTGGGGATAAATGCTAAAGCAAATTAGAGTTTGAAAACTGGGTCACACGGCTATAGAAATCTCTGTGTGTATAAACAATTATGCTCACAGTAACATCTCGAACAAAAAAAGAAATCGCATTTATGTGCACTGAAAATGTGTTGATTGATTGTAATTTTTCTAATGAATCTATGTCCAATTAAGCAAATGCATTCTCTTTGTTGTCTGAAAAATGGGTTAATGGACTAAACCTATTTATTCTCTCTGTAACCTATTTTTCTTAAACAAAAATAAATAATACCTACATTGCTTTTCAATTATTTTTTGATGCATGATAGCCCTTTTCCAAGTAGGATAGAGAGAGTTGTATTCATTATTTTGATGAATGAAACCTATCAATAGCTAGGAAAATGACATTCTACAGGTCCAGCAGTCAAAACTAAGCTGGTCATGTATGGAGTGTAGGCCTGAGGAGGAAACACAAGATCTTGATGTTTGCAGATGATCTACTCTTCCATCTCATTTATCCCCTGCTAAATGCAAGAAATATAAACTCACAGTAACCTCACCAACATTAAGGATAATTTCAATGCAAAATCCTTTTCATACTGATTCCTCCTCACATTACAATCCTTATTCCTGTTCCCCTGGGCAAAACTATTTTTTAAATATTTGCATATCTAGGGTACATCTATTCTAAGAGACGTACACTCTGCTATTTTCTTGTCCCTACTATATGATTTATTTATTTTTAAATTGAACCATATTTACTGCCGCTAGCTTGTTAGGATTAATATTATTATGTTAAATAAATAGCCGCACTCCTATTATCAATATATATTAAAAAAAAAAAAAGGATTAATATTATTGTCATGTACGAATTAGTGCTTCACAAAACCCTACCCATTTTCATTCCTAAATCAACCTTCTCGTTCCTACAATCCCTATACAAGTTAGTCTAGGTCAACAAAAAACCAAGAACTTTTATTTACAGCTGAGCAGGAGTACCTAACATTTAAAATATTTACTTGCAATAGATCATCTAACATGGAATTATAGAAGACCTAATCATGGCTCTCATGCACATGGTGGTGGAGAGTGCAGTCAATCTCAAGAATACTTTATTAGTATTGCCATTTATACAGCGCCAGTAGATTCCGTAGCTCTTTACAATATTATGAGAGGGGGGGATTTAACTATAAATAGGACAATTACAAGATAGGTTGAAGAGGGCCCTGCTCAAACGAGCTTACAGTCTATAGGAGGTGGGGTATAAAACACATTAGGACAGGAAATAGCAATCAAATAAGGTGGGAATGAAGCAGAGCTGGAGGAGAGAGTAAAGTGATGCCCTTTAGGAGAGAGCAAGAGATAGGTATGTGAGGTAGAGGTTAGTCTGGGAGGCCATAAGCTTTTTTAAAGAGATGGGTTTTAAAGCACTTTTTAAATGATTGAAGACTAGGGGAGAGTCTGAAGGCGGTAGGCAGGCTATTCCATAGGAAGGGAGCCGCCCGCAAGAAGTCCTGCAAGCGTGAGTTGACTGTATGGGTGCAAGCAGTGGACAGGAGAAGGTCACGGGCAGAACAGAGAGATCGAGAAGGGGCATACCTGTGGATCTGTGAAGAGATATAAGAGAAGCTAGAATTATTCAGTGCTTTATAGGTATTGGTTAGAACTTTGAATTGACTCCTAAAGGGTACAGGAAGCCAATGTAAGGAGTGACCGAGGGGTGAGGTTTGAGAGGACCGACTAGAGAGGAAAATCAGTCTGTTGGCAGCATTCATTACTGACTGCAGTGGGGCAATACAGCTTTTGGGAAGACCAATTAGGAGAGGGTTACAATAATCCATGTGGGAAATTACTAGAGCCTGGACATAGGTTAATTCCTTCACCACCTCTTTATTTGTTGAATGTAGCACAACACTCTACCTTAAATCTGACATTGTATAAATGGAGCGATATTAGTTCACCTTTCAATGCATCCCTCCTTCATCCATACACAGTTAACCTCTTTTACTTACCTGGAATCATTTCTTCCCCAAATGCAGGGATCAAACATTATTTTTGTTGTAATTATTCAATACTCCTCTCTCCAGCCACTCACCTCCTAAGCTCCCCAACAAACTTGAATCAGTTTCAATACACCCAACTTAGACAATTTGTCATCTCAATGCTATGCTATGAAAGGGACTAGATAGCCAACTACATTTCCTAGGCAGATCCCTCCATCGATACTCGATGAACTCTAAATCTTAAGGGTATACCTGAATGTGTCAGACTATTCATGCTAATTATATGTGACAACACAGTAAATAGTCCCCTCTATGGATTTTGGTTTACTGTTTGAAGTTACTGCTTTCATGACCATTCTTGCCTGCAGGTATGTATACTCTATTGTATGTCTCTGAATGCTTTTTTTACCTCCATGATTATTTTCAATATAATGGGACTGATATTTGAGTTCTTTCAAACTCCTACTACTAACCCAGATTTTCTATCTTGCTGTTGATTTTGGACATTATCACGTGCAGACTTTATCTCATAGTGTGCCATGTGCATACTTCTGTTTTGTATGGGTTTTTTTTTCTAAACAGGAGCAAGTTTTGAGCCATTTTTCTCCTAGTCTAAATGGAGTTTTTCAGGGGTTTCTGAACAACTGGTGTAGTATTAGCAAGTGTTCATAGTGAACATGTTTCCCAAAAATTCTAGAATGAACTGATTCACATTCTACAGTTTTTGAAAATGTTTTTGAAAATGTTTTTGAAAATGTTTTTGAATCCTGCTTGTATTTGTTCTGCAAGCATAACTAATAGCCAGGGGCGGACTGACCGGTCGGGCACTTCGGACATGGTCGGGAGGGGGGCCCGCCGCCAGGGCTGCCTTCAGGGGGCCCGGCATCTGGGGACTTGAGAGGAAGGTGCCACCGGGTGGCCGGTCCAGTGGCACACTGTGAGGAGGCCGGCCGCGTTTCATGCTGCAGCCGCCAGACCAGGTGGCAGCCTTGTCGGTCCGGCGGCATTCCTCTCACTAACACTGAAGGAGGAGGAGCATGTCTCTGTCATGCTCCCTGCGGTTCCCACAATTCCCAGCACAGGATGTGGGAACCGCAAAGGAGCATGACAGAGAGACATGCTCCGCCTCCTTCAGCGTTAGTGAGAGGAATGCCGCCGGACCGGCGAGGCTGCCACCCGGACCGGCGGCTGCAGCATGAAACGCGGCCGGCCCCCTCTGACTTTAGTAAGAGGGGGGAACAGAGATATGGGGTGGGGGGAGAAAGAGGGAACAGATATGGGGGGGGACAGAGAGATGGGGAGAAAGGGGGGGGGAACAGAGATGTTTTGGATCAAAGAAAACTTTGATAATTTGTCTATCTACACCTTCCAAATTATTTGATTAATGCGTGCACGCTTTCCCTAGAAGTAATTCACACCGGAGACAAAGTTTCTGATCAGTGAAAAACTCAGGAATGCTTTATTCCCCGGAGTGGGGGCTCCTTCTTAAAGCAAAAATACGTCACAGTTTAAACATACAGTATACATTCACCAATTGGTTAACAGAGAAAGGGGCTCTTGTTTAAACCCCCCTACAGGATGTAGTGTCATCATTATAGACTTCTGGATACACGATGGGAGGGGGGAGTGAGTAGTTTCTATCAGTTCTAAACCACTGATCCTCCATTTAGCTATACGTGGCATATAGCTGTTAACTGGCACAAAGGTAGTGGGGGAGGAGTTAGTAAAGGGAGTTATCACAGGAACTTTGGTTACACAAGGTTTTATTGATTTCAAGGGGGGGAGGCTAGCAGGATGTGAGGAATTTACATAGTAAACAGCAGCTGACCACATTGTAGGGGGGAAGGGAATATTTACTCTAGAAGCCAGTTTTAACATAGTGAACAGAGAATAAATAGACATTAGTAAATAGCCATTTTATTTTAATTCATCTGTCCATAACAGTCCCCCCTTAAAATGGCAATTTTTACTAAAACTACTATCTCTCATTCTAATACTGTCCCTATAGAAAAATAACAAAAGGCTATCTTGCACATCTGTCTGAACAGGCCTCGAACACTTCACTGCGCGGGTACCCCATAGCAGCTTGTCCACTACTTCTCCCGCGGCAGACTTCTGCCCGTAGAGACAGACGCTATCCCTAAATGTCCTTAAGAGGAAGTAGCTGTTGATTTAGTGCGGTGGGACTGTAAGGGTGTATGTGGTGTATCACGGTCGATGTCGTCAATCTCTTGGTGAAGGAAGGTCGGGGTGGTCTGGTCGATTGTCTGATCAACTGTCTTTTGTAGGCATTTCTTAAGACAGGGTAACACACAACAAACAAGAAGAGCGAGGATGATTATCGTTATTAAAATGGCAACACCTATTTGGGCCAGAGCACCTTGCCATCCAGACATCCATCCAAACCATCTTTCCCATGGATCTGTGGCCCCAGAATTTCGTTTCAGTTCATTGGACAAACTCTTTAACTTTTCTATTGCCAACGTTACCTTACCATTAGGGCCTGTATTATCTGGAATATAGGTACAGCATGTCATGGTGTCTGGCAGTATTTTACATACTCCCCCTTTCTCCGCCAGGATCATGTCTAAGGCCATTCTATTCTGGAAGGTCATCTGGGAAGTAGCTTGTAATTGTTCCGCCAAACCTTGGAGGGCATCTCTTGTATAATTTACAAAACGTTGTTGGTTATAATAGATGTAATTGATCCAATTTAAATTTTTATTGGCTGTGATGATTGGGAAAATAGATTCGAACCCTGCGGACACTTCATCTCTTGCTTTAAACTCATTCGGCACCCCCCTTGGCACTCCTATGGCATCTATGTAAATATGAGGATCAAAACTGCCTTTTACAGGAGTATCTCTCTTTATTCTAGAGTATTGGTGTGATGTACCTGGGTTATCTTGGTGTCCATCAGAGATTATGTGTATAGGCATAATTACCTTAGCTAGGGCACATTCTCCCCACCATACGCCTTCCAATCTGGTTCTAATCTGCATATCCCCACAAATCCAATATATGTCTCCAAGGGATCTTATTTGTTGTTGGATTAGGGCGGGTGGAATTGGGCTATATGTGGCACAGTACTTGCCAGTGAAATTACCAAAGAATTGGCCTACCCCATCATATATACCATAACAAGTGTAGTTACCTGGGTATATGGTGATACCTTTATCTGGCTTAACATCTTTAAGGATAATTGGGTATTCCTTTACCCATGATTCACATTCCGTCCGGTCAGTTTTAAGTATAGTATAGAGACTTAGGAAACACATCCATCTCTATCTCCGGAGGTATGTTCAAAGGGACAGTACCTAAGTGAGGCCTCGCTCCTCCACAGACATAGCAGTTAGATCTGTTGTGTTTGTTAGCGTTATATTTCATCCACTCAAGCCATAAGTTAGTGTCAGAGAAACCCGTCTCTACAGCCATAGTGTCCTCATACGTGGGGTTAGCTATAGCTATCATCTCTTTTAGAGTTTTGATATGTGGCCTAAGAGGATTAATAGTCATGTGCGTGGCACCTACCCATTCAGGTGCGTCATACATGTCCCGTAAGTAAAAGGTCCCCTGTTTATTGTATGAACCTCCTCCCTTCCAGTACATTCCCATTACATATTGCCCAGCATCTCCAGGACTGGGATGTTCTATGTTTAAAGCTAGTTTCATAGGTGTCGCCCCCCCTGGTTTCCTGAACGTCATTCTTTTCAGTAAGGACTCCCCATTTGTATCTAATCTGTCTAAGGCACTTTGTGGTCTATAGCCCCAAGATGGCCCTGTATTCCAACCTACTGCCTTCCGTGAGCTACACTCATATCCCCAGTAGTCATCAGTCACACATATGTATGGGTCCTTAATGTTAGGTATGTCTTTGTACACTGTTGACAACAATGCTGGTGGAAATGTACAATTTACAATATCACAATAATCAAATGCAAATGTGGCTACCCGTGTACTAGAGGAATTGTACCAAAATGTATAAACATGATTGTCTTTGGTTATAGCGACTTGTTGGGCCTTTATCAGACCTAGCAGCAAGAACAAATACACAAAATTCATGATGTAACAGGATCTGCTTCCTCTGGATCTGGGACTTTCTTGCAATGTGAAGCGTGTATCCAAGAGTTCTTTCCAGCCAATTTAACTGAGGTAGTCGTGGTTAGAACGGACCATCATATCTGGGTTCAAGGGTATGTTTTCTCAGGAACTTCTTAACCAGAACCCAATCACCAGGGAGCAACTTGTGTGTGCCTGTATCGGACTCTGGATCTGGAATGGAAGAAAACACTTGGGCATGTATCTTGTTTAAAACTTGGGAAAGAGCAGTCACATAATTAACCATAGTATCTGATTGCAGTTGGAGTTGTTGAGGAAAGTAACAACCTAGCCTAGGGGCTGAACCGAACAAAATCTCATTAGGAGACAGGTTAAACTTCCCTCTTGGTGTGTACCTAACACTAAACAGAGCTATGGGGAGACTCTCTGGCCAGGGCAGGTTAGTTTCTTGGGCCATCTTAAACATTCTGGCTTTTAAGGTGCCATTCATGCGTTCTACCTTACCACTACTTTGTGGGTGATAGGGTGTGTGGAATGCAAGGGTCACCCCGAGTGCTGCCCAGACTTCCTTAGTCACTAGTACTGTAAAAGCCGGGCCCTGGTCACTTTCAATCACTTCAGGAACTCCATATCTACAGACAATTTCAGTGAGCAACCGCTTGGCAGTGGTCTTGGCGGTCATATTAGTGACCGGGAAAGCTTCTGGCCATCCTGAGAACATGTCCACCATAACTAGGGCATATTCATACCGGCCACTCTTTGGCATCTGAATGTGGTCAATTTGGACTCTCTGGAATGGGTAGTGTGGCTTCGCCAGGTGTTTGGGGAACACTTTCTCCAATTTTCCCGGATTGCACTTGGCACAGATAGCACAAGACTTACAGTAGGTTTTAGTCAGAGTGGTAATACCTGGTGCTTCAAAATATTTAGCAATTAAAGAGTTCATGAGTGTCTTAGACAAGTGCGCTGCTCCGTGGGCCCACTGAACCACAGCCGGATACATACATTTAGGTAGACAAAATTTGAGATTGCTAGTATATACTCCATCCTGCAAGGTTGCTCCTTTCTGTTTCCAGCTTTGCTTTTCTTCAGGACTTACAGCTGCTTGCTGTTCTTTCAAAAACTTGAGGTCTGTAGGTAAGGTTTGCATGGGAAAAATAGGAATTTCCTTACCGGATACTCTTCTGTCCACTTCCCTTGATTGACATGCAGCATCTTTGGCGGCTTGGTCAGCTTTATGATTGCCATATGTTTCTTCCGATTTCCGTCTTCCATGGGCTTTTACTTTCAGTATGGCCACTTCTTCAGGAAGGAGTAAAGCATCTATCAATTCCTTGATAGCTGTACCATGTTTAACTGGTGTACCGGTTGCTGTCAGAAAACCTCTTGTTTTCCATATTAATCCAAAATCGTGTGCTACGCCCAGGGCATATCTTGAATCCGTGTAAATATTAACACGTTTCCCTTCAAACATTTGGCATGCTACAGTGAGGGCTTTTAGTTCCGCTTCTTGAGCAGACATAGACGGGGGAAGTGGGGATGCTTGAAGTACCTGAACTACTGTGGTCACTGCAAATCCAGTGTGGTTTCTTCCTTGTTCATCCGCAAATCTGGAGCCTCCACAAACAGTGTGCAGTCAGGATCTGGCAAAGCCGTTTCATGTACTGTAGGAAGATGGGCTGTTTCCATCTTCATCTGTTCAAAACAGTCATGGGGAACATCTGGGTCAGGATCTATGGGAGGGGCATCTTCACATATTTCTGTGTGATATTGTGGGTAACCAGTAGTCTTACAATTCACAGTTCGTTTGGTAACACCTTCTGTGGAGAGTTGGTCTTGATCTGTTGCACTCCATGCTTTGGCTAATGGACCAAGTTCCTTCCATGAGATATTTGGAGATTTAGTAATAGAGACATGAGGAACTGCCATCTCCCAATGGTGGTACATATGAGTCACTTCTGTGGGTAATTGAACTAACACTACAGTGTTACCTTTTGTATCACAGTATATGTCTGTCAAGGTGAGGCGTACTTCAATCAATTGAAACAGTTCTTCTTCATACTGAGGGTCAGGCCCCGGAACGTCTCTGAACCACAAAGTACAATGCCATAGAGGAGATGGCTGTTCATCGTGTGGTACTGTGGGCATATGGACATCCAGATCAAGGAAGGCATCAGGATCTATGTTCAGACCGTACCAATAGTGTGGTACTCCCCCCTTGGGAAGCGGCAGAAGAGTGGCAGGATTCAAAGTGTAACATCGCTGTAAGGAGACATTATCGGGTAACATTAAAGTTGTTTGGAGACGAAGATGCCTTTGAGTAGAGAGATGTTTAGGTTGAACTTGATTCAATATTGCAGAAAGATCATGGGGGGCGAGAATGGTTAGCTTGTGACCAAGGATTATGTCACACGTCTTGTCCAGTAGAGCACTTGCCGCAAATACAGCCCGAAGACAGGAGGGTCCTCCCCTGGCCACAGGATCCAACTGACAGGAGTAATACCCTATTGGACGTTGACGAGACCCATGAGACTGAGTGAGAACACCAGATGCATGTCCCATTTTTTCGTAGACAAAGAGCTTGAAGGGCTTCTCGTAATTGGGAAGGCCCAGAGCAGGAGCAGTAACAACAGCACGTCGTAATGCGAAGAAGCTGGTAAGGGCTTCAGGAGATAAATCAAACGGTTCAGTTTTGAGGGCATCGTAGAGTGGCTGCATCAGTGTAGAGGCTTCAGGAATCCAGGCTCTACAGTAAGAGATAAGACCTAGGAAGGCATGGAGGGACTTGTGAGCCGATGGAGGGCAGAGTGATGTGATACCCCGCACTCTGTCTCTAGTAAGGTGCCGGGTGCCATGAGAAAGACAATGCCCCAAAAATATCACCGAGGGTCGGCACCACTGCAATTTCTTCTTAGATGCTTTACAACCTTGGGCGGCCAGGAAACAGAGGAAATCTTCAGAGACACATTCTGCAGTCGGGAGATCGTCAGCACAGAGAAGGAGATCGTCCACGTATTGCAGGAGGACCACCTCTGTGTGAGATTTCTGCCATGGTTCCAGGATGTATGCCATGGCTCTTGCAAACTGGCTTGGGGAATTTTGTGCTCCCTGGGGCATGACTGTCCAGGTATATTGTTGGCGGTCATGGGTAAATGCAAACAGGTATTGACAAGAGGGATGCAAAGGCACGCTGATGAAGGCATTGGCCAAATCCACCACCGTGAAGAATTTAGCTGAAGGAGGGACCTGGGATAGAAGAGTATGAGGATTTGGAACAATGGGAGTTTCCAAGACGGTAACATCATTGACTGCTCTGAGGTCTTGAACCATCCTGTACTTGTCCGGTTCGCCCTTTTCAGTCTTTTTCTTAACTGGAAACAAAGGAGTGTTACAAGGCGACACACATTTAATCAGTGCACCCGCAGCCAGCAGAGTTTCAACCTGTTTGGAGATAGAGAGGGCCTGAGCAGGTGTCAATGGATATTGTGGTCTTCTGGGCGGACTTGCTCCTTGGAGCAACTGCACAAATATCGGAGTGACTTTAAGTCGTCCAATATCATCGGGACCAGTAGACCACAGTTGCACAGGAACTCTGTCAAGTGCACTGGGGGAATTGTCTAGGACCCTTGCATTCCCATGGGGTGATTCCATGTGGAGTAGGAGGGGTAAAGAACAAAGGGCTGAGGTATCTTCACTGGAGAGAGGGGTCAATAACTGAACCTTGCCATCTGGAGTAAAGGAGATGGAGGCCTGCAAGCGGGACAGAACATCAGCTCCCAACAAATTAAGAGGACAAGAGGGAGACACTACAAAACGAGTAAGGAGATCAGGGAAAGTACCCACCCGCAAGGGCTTAGTTAATGGGTTGCTACGAGGGGTACCGTCTACACCTATACAGGAAACATCTATATTAGATAGAAAGGAATCGTCAGGCAGGTCACATGCTCTAAGTACGCTACGGGCTGCGCCTGTGTCAACTAAGAAGGTGGTTGGGCAGCCTTCCACAGGTAGGACCACTGTAGCTAGGGGCCCCCCTTTATCCCCTGTATACACTGCCATGACAGGGGCATTGGACACGGGTTTGCCTGTTACCTATTGGACAAGATCAATATGAGACTGGTCAGGACCAGGATATGTACGTGTAGGTGTAGTTGGGTAGTATGGTTGTTGAGCATGCTGTGCAGGGCGTCGGTGTCTAGGCATAGGACGATTAGAGGGCAGATAATTGGCTGAGGCTAGGTCATCCGGATAATAAGTAGTATAGTTAGCATAATTGGAATCATGTGTCGGATAACCTAGCGCTTGAGTAGGAGGATAACCGGCCACAGGATACGGTGGCCGTAGAGCCTGTGTGCGCTGCCAAGGTGCTGGAAAACCTGGACAATCCTTCTTAAAATGACCTAGTTGCTTACAGTGAAAACAAGTTCGACCTTGTGGTCTTGGAACCTGAGCTATGAAAGGGCCCGGTAGTGTGGTAACAGGGAACCCAACAGGGGCAGGTGTAATTGCAGGGTCATGTAATGTAAACATTAAAGGAGTGGATTTCTTGTGCTGGGGCAATTGGATCGACTCCAGGCCTTTAGCGACCAGGAGGAGAGTATCCATGGGAATTATCCTGAATTCGGGACGGGACAGGACCAGGCCTTTCCTTATAGGTTCTTTAAGGCCTGCAACGAAAGCGGCTGATAGCATCTGGGTGTGGGCCTTATTACATGTATTGAAACCCAGATCGGAAAAGGTTTGAGTTAACCTGGAATGAAATCTTTCAACCGTTTCTGATTTTTCTTGAACAATATCAGCAATAGAAGTAGCCTGATCAGTCAACTTATCTTGAGCCCATGCACGGAGTTGTTCACAAAATGTGATACCAGACTGATAATCCGTGTCTGTAGTGAGACGGGCATCATCAAAGCTCTTTTCCATTATGGGCCAGTAAGCATCCCCTGCCTTAATTTCACACAGACTAAACAAATCACGCCATGCTGCAGAGTAAGTTTTACGGATTTGAACAATCCGACGGAAAAAGGGCATGGGCTGTTTCTCAGGGTCAGGGAGTGAGTGTACCAGTGTTGCAGCTTGGGACGGGTTGAAGGTAACATACATTAAAGGGGCACCCTCCTGATCATGCTGGGTACTGCAAGCACCTGCTATGGGAATGTGAGGCAGATTAGTCGGGGTCTGTGGAGGCTGCACCCCCTGGACACTACCATCAGCAGGGGGAATGGGAATCTGTTGGCTGGATACACGAGCCATGTCAGGAAGAACTGAAATCGGTCCAACAGTAGTACTGGCCGCAGGGTGACTAACTGTAGGAGTAATGTGGACCGAATCAAGTTGTGAGGCAGGGGGAGAAGTGACTGATGTAGCAGTGGAGGTAGCAGGATAATAGCCTGATGCTGCAGGGGTAGCAGCAGGAGGATAGCCTGATGCTGCAGGGGTAGCAGCAGGAGGATAGCCTGATGCTGCAGGGGTAGCAGCAGGAGGATAGCCTGATGCTGCAGGGGTAGCAGCAGGAGGATAGCCTGATGCTGCAGGGGTAGCAGCAGGAGGATAGCCTGATGCTGCAGGAACAGTGGATCCAATAGTCATAATAGGGAAAGATACACTGGGGGCAGTTATGAGATGGGCCGGAATGGAAGAGGATACAGAAGGGAGGGAGGAAGCGACCACAGGGGTGTTGGTAGGGGAAGTTACCATCATGGAAGGGATGGGTGTGTTAGAAACAGGAAATGGTGACAGTGAAAGGGCAGAAGTTATAGGGAGATGTGAAAGGAATTGGGCGTGGACAGAAGCAACAGGAGTTGGAAGAGAGGGTGTAGCAGCAGAGATGGGCAAGGGAGGAGGAGGCAAAGAAACAGGAAGGGAATGTGTGACTGGGATTTGGAGTGGAGAAGGAGAGGGGGCTGGAAAATAACATGAACCGTCTGCCTTAAGGACAGGGTACAAGGCAGCAGGGGCTGGAGAGCATGTGTTAACATGAATGGGCTGTGTGGGGGCTCCAGGGGCTGGTTGAGCCACCCCCCTTTCTGGCCAGGCCTTATCATATGGAGGAGGGCTGGAAACGCCTTCAACAGATTCAACAAAACAACCTTTTTCATGATATACAAAGACTTTCTTCCCCTCTAGGTCTATCTCCTCCTCAATCCACCCCTCCTTCTTAATCCCTCGAGCCACCCGATACCAAGAATCTGCGGCCTTCATTAACCCATTATCTAACAATATCCCATGTTTATCGTTTAAAAGTTTCCTCCAGTCTTCCGCCTGCAATATGCCACTGTGGGACATAGTAATACCACACAGTTTAATAATTTTCTTAAGTTTGGCTACAGCTAAGTCCCCAGCTCTTTCCTTTACAAGGTCACATGCTAACCGACCCCGGGAGGGGCTAACATTAGTTTGACCCATTTATACACAACAGTGGTATGGATAGAGAGAAGCAGACCCTGGACCAAAAGAGAGTGAGAGACTGAGAGATAGAGAGAGAAAGAGAGAGAGAGAGAGACTGAGGTAGAGAGAATGAGGGAGCGAGAGAGTGGGGGAAGAGTGTGAAAGTAAGGGAGACAAAAAGAGTGAGAGAGAGAGAGAGTGTAGGAGAAAGTGAGCAAGAGGCTGAGGGAGATAAGGTGAGAGGGAGACTGAGAGAAAGAGGTTTAGGAAGAGAGAGAGAAGGAGAGAGAAAGAGACTGACTGAAAGAGAAAGTGAGGGATAGAGAGAGAGAAAGAGAGAGAGAGAGAGGGGTTTAGGAGGAGAAAGAGAAGGAGAGAGAAAGAGACTGAAAGAAAAAGAGAGGGAGAGAGAGAGAGAGTGTAGGAAGAGAAAGAGAAGGAGAGAGAAAGAGACTGACTGAAAGAGAAAGAGAGGGAGAGAGAGAGAGAGTGTAGGAAGAGAAAGAGAAGGAGAGAGAAAGAGACTGACTGAAAGAGAAAGAGAGGGAGAGAGAGAGAGAGAGAGGGGTTTAGGAGGAGAAAGAGAAGGAGAGAGAAAGAGACTGACTGAAAGAAAAAGAGAGAGAGAGAGAGAGATTTAGGAGTTATAGACTAAGGGAAACGTGCATCAAGGTCACATGTACGTCCTAGCAGAGCACAGAGAACCAGAGTGATGCAAAAAAAAACAAAAAAAGGGAGGGGGGAGGAGAGGGTGAAGCAGAGTTGCAAGCACGAAGTATTTAACCATGTAAGTGCCTAAGCACAGCTCTCCTCAGTACAAAAGATAGAATAGGAGCGCTACAAGACACAGAGAAAATATAGAACAATTAACATATATGGTACCGACAAGACATTTACATGCAAAAGCACAATATACAGATGCAATTAAATCACAAAGTCCTTAAAATAAATGCCGGCTTATAATAACTCAAATCACACACACAGAAACACTCAAGCACATAAACCGCTCCTTTACCAAATATATTTTTAAACTCTTGACCGAGTCCCTCAATAACTTCTCTACCGAAGTTTAGTTAAAATACATTTTTTTTTTATTATTATTTTATTTATTTATTTATTTATTTATTTTTAAACTCTTGACCGAGTCTCGCAATAACTTCTTTACGAAGCTTAGCTAAAATAAATATAGAGCCAGGGGTTTTCCACCAAACCTGAACTTGGCTAAACCTGCAAGTGCTTAACCACACTTGGCAGCATTATATAACAGTATTAAGCAAGTAGTAAAACAGATTCTCAAACAGACACTTTCACACATAAAACTCACACTCAGGACTCAGGCTGTAGATAGACAAGTGACAGGTTCTATATAAAAGGGGACATTCGGGCATATATATATTACCTGTCTGAAGACGTTAAACACCGGAAGCCGAATGTGAAGGCACGGAGAACAAGAGAAATCCAAAGAAAGGAAAATATAGGTAAGTAACACATTTACCATATGCAGAGGTGATCAGGCTCCGTTTCCAATCTCTGGGAATCCTTTGTTCTCCTGTCTTGGGATCTGACGGCTTCCTTATTAACGTATCCCTTTCAGTCCCTGTTCGGGCGCCAAAATTGTTTTAGAATCAAAGAAAACTTTGATTATTTGTCTATCTACACCTTCCAAATTGATTGATTAATGCGTGCACGCTTTCTCTAGAAGTAATTCACACCGGAGACAAAGTTTCTGATCAGTGAAAAACCCAGGAATGCTTTATTCCCCGGAGTGGGGGCTCCTTCTTAAAGCAAAAATACGTCACAGTTTAAACATACAGTATACATTCACCAATTGGTTAACAGTCTAAGGGTTCTTGTCTAAACCCCCCTACAGGATGTAGTGTCATCATTACAGACTTCTGGATACACAATGGGAGGGGGAGTGAGTAGTTTCTTTCAGTTCTAAAACAGTGATTCTCCATTTTGTTATACGTGGCATATAGCTGTTAACTGGCACAAAGGTAGTGGGGGAGGAGTTAGTAAAGGGAGTTGTTATCACAGGAATTTTGGTTACACAAGGTTTTATTGATTTGAAGGGGGATGCTTATCAGGATGAAGAATTTACATAGTAAACAGCAGCTGAACACATTGTAGGGGGGAAGGGAATATTTACTCTAGAAGCCAGTTTTAACATAGTGAACAGAGAATAAATAGACATTAGTAAATAGCCATTTTATTTTAATTCATCTGTCCATAACAGTCCCCACTTAAAATGGCAATTTTTACTAAAACTACTATCTCTCATTCTAATACTGTCCCTATAGAAAAATAACAAAAGGCTATCTTGCACATCTGTCTGAACAGGCCTCGAACACTTCAATGCGTGGGTAACCCGTAGCAGCTTGTCCACTACTTCTCCCCGCGGCAGACTTTTGCCCGTGGAGACAGACGCTATCCCTAAATGTCCTTAAGAGGAAGTAGCTGTTGATTTAGTGCGGTGGGACTGTAAGGGTGTATGTGGTGTATCACGGTCGATGTCATCAATCTCTTGGTGAAGGAAGGTCGGGGTGGTCTGGTCGATTGTCTGATCAACTGTCTTTTGTAGGCATTTCTTAAGACAGGGTAACACACAACAAACAAGAAGAGCGAGGATGATTATCGTTATTAAAATGGCAACACCTATTTGGGCCAGAGCACCTTGCCATCCAGACATCCATCCAAACCATCTTTCCCATGGATATGTGGCCCCAGAATTTCGTTTCAGTTCATTGGACAAACTCTTTAACTTTTCTATTGCCAATGTTACCTTACCATTAGGGCCTGTATTATCTGGAATATAGGTACAGCATGTCATGGTGTCTGGGAGTATTTTACATACTCCCCCTTTCTCCGCCAGGATCATGTCTAAGGCCATTCTATTCTGGAAGGTCATCTGGGAAGTAGCTTGTAATTGTTACGCCAAACCTTGGAGGGCATCTCTTGTATAATTTACAAAACGTTGTTGGTTATAATAGATGTAATTGATCCAATTTAAATTTTTATTGGCCGTGATGATTGGGAAAATAGATTCGAACCCTGCGGACACTTCATCTCTTGCTTTAAACTCATTCGGCACCCCCCTTGGCACTCCTATGGCATCTATGTAAATATGAGGATCAAAACTGCCTTTTACAGGAGTATCTCTCTTTATTCTAGAGTATTGGTGTGATATACCTGGGTTATCTTGGTGTCCATCAGAGATTATGTGTATAGGCATAATTACCTTAGCTAGGGCACATTCTCCCCACCATACGCCTTCCAATCTGGTTCTAATCTGCATATCCCCACAAATCCAATATATGTCTCCAAGGGATCTTATTTGTTGTTGGATTAGGGCGGGTGGAATTGGGCTATATGTGGCACAGTACTTGCCAGTGAAATTACCAAAGAATTGGCCTACCCCATCATATATACCATAACAAGTGTAGTTACCTGGGTATATGGTGATACCTTTATCTGGCTTAACATTTTTAAGGATAATTGGGTATTCCTTTACCCATGATTCACATTCCGTCCGGTCAGTTTTAAGTATAGTATAGAGACTTAGGAAACACATCTCTATCTCCGGAGGTATGTTCAAAGGGACAGTACCTAAGTGAGGCCTCGCTCCTCCACAGACACAGGCAGTTAGATCTGTTGTGTTTGTAAGCGTTATATTTCATCCACTCAAGCCATAAGTTAGTGTCAGAGAAACCCGTCTCTACAGCCATAGTGTCCTCATACATGGGGTTAGCTATAGCTATCATCTCTTTTAGAGTTTTGATATGTGGCTTAAGAGGATTAATAGTCATGTGCGTGGCACCTACCCATTCAGGTGCGTCATACATGTCCCGTAAGTAAAAGGTCCCCTGTTTATTGTATGAACCTCCTCCCTTCCAGTACATTCCCATTACATATTGCCCAGCATCTCCAGGACTGGGATGCTCTATGTTTAAAGCTAGTTTCATAGGTGTCGCCCCCCCCCCCTGGTTTCCTGAACGTCATTCTTTTCAGTAAGGACTCCCCATTTGTATCTAATCTGTCTAAGGCTCTTTGTGGTCTATAGCCCCAAGCTGGCCCTGTATTCCAACCTACTGCCTTCCATGAGCTACACTCATATCCCCAGTAGTCATCAGTCACACATATGTATGGGTCCTTAATGTTAGGTATGTCTTTGTACACTGTTGACAACAATGCTGGTGGAAATGTACAATTTACAATATCACAATAATCAAATGCAAATGTGGCTACCCGTGTACTAGAGGAATTGTACCAAAATGTATAAACATGATTGTCTTTGGTTATAGCGACTTGTTGGGCCTTTATCAGACCTAGCAGCAAGAACAAATACACAAAATTCATGCTATAACAGGATCTGCTTCCTCTGGATCTGGGACTTTCTTGCAATGTGAAGCGTGTATCCAAGAGTTCTTTCCAGCCAATTTAACTGAGGTAGTCGTGGTTAGAACGGACCATCATATCTGGGTTCAAGGGTATGTTTTCTCAGGAACTTCTTAACCAGAACCCAATCACCAGGGAGCAACTTGTGTGTGCCTGTATCGGACTCTGGATCTGGAATGGAAGAAAACACTTGGGCATGTATCTTGTTTAAAACTTGGGAAAGAGCAGTCACATAATTAACCATAGTATCTGATTGCAGTTGGAGTTGTTGAGGAAAGTAACAACCTAACCTAGGGGCTGAACCGAACAAAATCTCATAAGGAGACTGGTTAAACTTCCCTCTTGGTGTGTACCTAACACTAAACAGAGCTATGGGGAGACTCTCTGGCCAGGGCAGGTTAGTTTCTTGGGCCATCTTAAGCATTCTGGCTTTTAAGGTGCCATTCATGCGTTCTACCTTACCACTACTTTGTGGGTGATAGGGTGTGTGGAATGCAAGGGTCACCCTGAGTGCTGCCCAGACTTCCTTAGTCACTAGTGCTGTAAAAGCTGGGCCCTGGTCACTTTCAATCACTTCAGGAACTCCATATCTACAGACAATTTCAGTGAGCAACCGCTTGGCAGTGGTCTTGGCGGTCATATTAGTGACCGGAAAAGCTTCTGGCCATCCTGAGAACATGTACATCATAACTAGGGCATATTCATACCGGCCACTCTTTGGCATCTGAATGTGGTCAATTTGGACTCTCTGGAATGAGTAGTGTGGCTTCGCCAGGTGTTTGGGGGACACTTTCTCCAATTTTCCCGGATTGCACTTGGCACAGATAGCACAAGACTTCTGGTTTTAGTCAGAGTGGTAATACCTGGTGCTTCAAAATATTTAGCAATTAAAGAGTTCATGAGTGTCTTAGACAAGTGCGCTGCTCCGTGGGCCCACTGAACCACAGCCGGATACATACATTTAGGTAGACAAAATTTGAGATTGCTAGTATATACTCCATCCTGCAAGGTTGCTCCTTTCTGTTTCCAGCTTTGCTTTTCTTCAGGACTTACAGCTGCTTGCTGTTCTTTCAAAAACTTGAGGTCTGTAGGTAAGGTTTGCATGGGAAAAATAGGAATTTCCTCACCGGACACTCTTCTGTCCACTTCCCTTGATTGACATGCAGCATCTTTGGCGGCTTGGTCAGCTTTATGATTGCCATATGTTTCTTCCAAATTCCGTCTTCCATGGGCTTTTACTTTCAGTATGGCCACTTCTTCAGGAAGGAGTAAAGCATCCATCAATTCCTTGATAGCTGTACCATGTTTAACTGGTGTACCGGTTGCTGTCAGAAAACCTCTTGTTTTCCATATTAATCCAAAATCGTGTGCTACGCCCAGGGCATATCTTGAATCCGTGTAAATATTAACACGTTTCCCTTCAAACATTTGGCATGCTACAGTGAGGGCTTTTAGTTCTGCTTCTTGAGCAGACATAGATGGGGGAAGTGGGGATGCTTGAAGTACCTGATCTACTGTGGTCACTGCAAATCCAGTGTGGTATCTTCCTTGTTCATCCGCAAATCTGGAGCCATCCACAAACAGTGTGCAGTCAGGATCTGGCAAAGCCGTTTCATGTACTGTAGGAAGATGGGC